TAGTCCGAATTTTTGCACAGTCGAAAATAAAGCGGAAATTCAACAAGCGGTCGCAAAAGCGAGCGATTGAAAAGCGGAAGCGGGCGAGAGGTTGGGCGAAATGAGTTCTGTACTTCTTTGTTTGATGAAGCGATGCTGATGCCACATTGTCGCCATAATGAGGCCACAATGAAGCGAAGCGATAACCGCCTAACTTTTTAATGTCACGACATTGAAGCGATGCTGAAGCCATAACAATGCCATAATGATGTGATGCTGAAGCGAAGGTGAAGCTGAAGTGAAGCCAAAGCTTCCGCGAGAACTGTACTGTAGTATACTGATAAATAGTTATTCTTTCAGTTATACATTTTACCCAGATTTATTCAGTATTTTGCTTTTATACGATTTACATGAATACTGTTGAACTGTGTTGTATTTTTATGCAGTAGATCATTTAGTCCTGGAGAGGTCAGTGACACTGAGTGACCTTGGATACGGTAACTAAACAAACTAGGTGAAGTCAGTTTTACCATGTGTCCACGTTATTACAAGTTGTTAGTGATGGAACTAGTCCTGAACTATTTCATTTCATGTTCTCCGTTGTTCCTATATTGTTCAGTGGATATATACTCCATTTGACTGTTGCTATAGAGACGAATAGCATTGAATATCTGAGACATATCAGCTGCTATAGGAATTATTATTGCATTGTGTGATTTACTATGCGCTCATTGATGACAGTGTCAAATAACGAATAAACGACACGTCCTGACTTCTCGGGTCTTTTGGTCAATGTATTTGATGTGTCTTTGCATATTATATTTTTATAATTATTATCATTAGGATTACAGCGCCCTCTATGGTCGCAACTGTTCTCAAGTCCAGACAACAGAATTATACCGAATCAAGGAAGTACGACATTAAAGCTTATTGTTTATTTAAATTTTTTTTGTGTGCACAGTCTGGAGTGTAACACTTGCATAGATCTGATAATTATGAGGTTGTGTGTTCAAGCACACATTTCGAGAGATCAGCTCCATTTATATGGCAGGTGAAGTGCAAAGTAACTGAGATTATTACATATGTACTACAGTTTATTATGATTCTTCCTTGAAATCAAAATCGGTATTTCCACACCTCATATGCAAATGAGGTCTGAGAGCAAACAAAGTATTC